AGGAAAAATGTCAGATTTATAAGCCCCATTCATTTATGCTCTAAAGCAGAATTATGGGGATAAAACACCCAAAGGAGGAATACATGAATAAACTAAGTGCCTGAATTCCTTGCTTGTGGCCCTCGTGTACAATGCAACAGATCAGCGAAGAAAGATGAGCAGAGACAGGTTCCCATAGGCCTGGCTAAACTATTCACACAAAGGGAATTGTTTGACGTTAAATTTCAGCAGTTCAACTTGAAATCAGATGATCGAGTAGTTCTATATTAAGTTTTCTGGAAAGGTTTTGTGAACTTATGAGTAGGTCTGCAGTTACACTTGACCAGTTAGTTTTCCTTGTACACTATGGCAAAGTGCAACAGCGATAGAGATTTCCTGGTTTCCTCATCCTTCCCCATCTGACCTGTTCTCCCTTCAGATCACTGATTGGGAATGAGGGAAAAATGGAAATGGTTGAAAAGCATATCAACTTTCAACAGAAAATGGGATCGATAACCTGGATATTAGGACAGGGTGGGCCAAGGCAGCAACTGGAAAATTTCCAAGGTTTTTATGGTCACAACAGTCAACCCCTCTGTTCTTCCCAGTTATGGAAAACCTATTGGTCCTATTTCTCTGTGCACTACAGAGTTGTCATAAGTCTGAGGTTTGTGATGAGCTGCTCTGCATCTAGAAACAGTGAACAGCACCTTCTACTCTCTTTCTGTGTGGACTTGGGATGTCAATGAGGAAAGACATCTCACAAACCTGAGCCATGTCTCTATAGTATGTATCATCTTGTTTTTATATTGTATGCAGTAGCAGTGAAAAAGATGAGAATTATTATCCATTTTGGTTTATGAATACATTATTCATAGGCCTGACCAACCTATCATTGATTCTTCAGATGTCTTGGTCTCTGAGGTCTCCTGTTGGAAGACCAATCTTCCATTTGTGACAGGACAGGTTTAAAATGAAAACTTGAATGACTAGATTACTGTTGTGAGAGGCAGTGATTTCTTATGGTGATATCTGTTACTGGGCTAACTCATGGGCACCTTCTACCACCTTCCCCTCTTTCAAAAAAATAATAAAAATTAACAAATAGAACTTGTTCTACTGCTGGCCGAAGAACCCATAGTTTGGGGGTGGGCAAAATGCAGCCTGGGGGCCGGATGCAGCCCGCCAAGCCATTCTATCTGGCCTGCGGGGCCCCTAAAAAATTTAGAAAATGTAGATCTATCTGCTCTGGGCTGCCTGTCATGCGGCCCTCAATGGCTTGCCAAAACTCAGTAAGCGGCTCTCCGCCCAAAATAATTGCCCGCCCCTGCCATAGTTTAACTGTCATTGTAAACCAGTAAAGCAGTTGTGCATTCCTTCAGGAGGGCGGCATTGTGTCCAAAAATGGTTCTAGTTTCCAATGCCATCCAAGTGGGATCAATACACTTTTACAGATCCCAACACTTAAATGTTTACTTAGGGTATCAGGAAAGCTTTGAGCAGAATAGCCCTTCTCTGAGCAGTAGTTTTATCTCTGGTACTGAGATCTGATAGATAGCATTTTGCTTGCCAAATTCTGCCTATTAGTCATTTAGGGCACCTATACACAAGCAGCAAGGCTGCTCCAACATGCTGTAATTACGGTGCATCAGAGCTGCTTGATTAATTGAGTTGAGTCTGCAGGAGCATGGTAATTACTGCATTCCAGCAGAATCCAGTGTCTCATACATCAGCATCCCCTCACTGAAAAATGGCAGTGGGGGCATTTTAACTAAAGCTTTCTTCAAGTAATAACCTTGTTTGAACTTTAGTTAAAAGTTCAAACTTTCAAACCTTGCTGCCATTTTTCAGCGTGAGGACACCAATGCACGAGATGCTCCAGGCACTTGAATTAGAGTGGCTCTCAGAGCACATGTATAAACACCCTTAGTCTTGGGCAGTGCAACCTCTTTGCCTTGGCAGAATTTTCTGTGGCTTACTGTCCCAGAGAAGAGGAGGAGTTTTATATAACCTACCTCATTCCTGGATGTCCACGTTAAAAGGATGACTTTTGCTCTCTTGGATGCACTGCTTTGAAAATCCCATTATAAACTCTCTTTCGCCTTTAGCCATTTATATCCATTCTTAGCTGCAAATTTCCTTTGGAGTGATAAGGTCCACAGATCTGGAAATAAATGGATCATTCTAAACAGAAATAAAAAATGTTTGATTTGGGTTTATCTATGCTAAAAATGTACCATGCTTTGCATTAGGGGATATTTTTTCCTTCAATGTGTATTTTACACACATAATTTAGGGAAGTAGCTTTGAATTATTATCCAGGCTGTGAAAGTTATATCAACTAGAGGGAACTTCATGAGGCAGTGTATTCCCCTGTGTTGGTGACTGACAGGTCTGGTTCACACTGCTTGCAGCTTGGGGACAGAAGTACCATTGTAGGAGATCTGTGGAATTTATTACTTGAAGAAAGGAAATCTTCTGGTAAGCAAGGATACATTTTTCATATTCATGTATGGTGAAAACTGGCATGCTGTCAGATGTTAGTCTCCTATGCCTCTATAGACTCTTTTTTTTTTTCCAAGAAGACTGCTGCAATGTAATTCTTAATTACTTTTGGGAATACACAATTCAAATCTTTTTTTTCCAGGTGGCTGTTCAAATAACTGCTCTAAGCAAAGTTTGTAAGGGAGTAGGCATCATTTGTAGATTTTTTAATATTAAAACTTTTTGGCTTCTTATAGCTGAAATAATGCTTAAACATCTTCACTTTCATTCCACGATGCAGAAATTACATATCAAATCTGTGAAGATAAATGTTTGGCCATTCAAGTGCTTTGTTAAACAGATCTTTAGACGTCCTCACGTTAATGATTCCTTTTGAAGTTTATCAGACAATCACTCATTTTAGAGTAGTTGTACTTTCTTCTATCTCCTAGTTTGAGAATCTGCCACTGAATAGTGAAACAATTAAAAAAGCCCTGTAAAGGCTTCCTCAAATATTTTCCACAATTGCTGAGCAATTAAGTGTAGAAAATTCCTGTCTTTGAAAAAACCCTAATCCATTTAAAGATCAGGCCACTGATTCTCAACCAGGGGACCGTGGCTATCATTTTTCAGGGGGTACTTCCAATCTAATGAGTAGTATCTCATGTACAAAGAGGTTGAGAACCGCTGGATTAGGATATATAAACCTTGCTGCTATACAGATTTAGATGACTTCAAGGCTAAATGGTTTCACTTTGGGAGGCAAGAGTTTTTGTGGGTGCTATTCCAACCATGCAGTTGGTCCAGTAAAAGATAAATTCATACAAACTTTCAGGCATCACAATATACCCTTCCTTGGGTCTCTTGAGGAGGAAAAGGGTACTGTGATGCCTGAAAGCTTGTCTGAATTAATCCCAGCCATGCAGTTGGTTCAGTAGAAGTCCCACAAAAACTCTTGCCTCTCTCATTTCCTGACTATCACAGCTACAACATCACTTCACTTCCTTTTGTTTGTTCTTTTTAGGATGATGAGGTTGATGGTAACGAGGAAAAGAAAGAGAGTCGGGTAAGTGTACGTTTCAAAATATATGTTGGCATGAGTGACTTCCTTGATGTTGTCCTAGATTTTGTTGGCAGCAGGTCTCCTCTGAATGAACTACTTCTTGTTAGTAGAAGTGTCTCGGAATACCATGCTGGAATGAACATGTGTTTTGGAAACAGGCCAACATGTGCATGTGTAATCATCATATGTTACTACTGCCCTCTTCCCCTTCCCATGCCTCTTGTTCTGGGTTTCATGATTTCTGACCTTGTGCTCCCCGCATCTGAAACAATTTCCTCATTTTCAAAGTACTCCTGTCCTTAAAGATTTTCCTCTTTTATGTTTAAATGCACCCCAAGGAATTATGCGCAGAAAAATTCAAAATTATGTGCTGAGTCATGTGCCATGTTGTGGCACAGATCCAGCCCAGCCTGGCTCTGTGTTTCCACGTGTGGCTTTCTGCTGGAGTGCTGGAAGCCCAACGTGAAGACATGGAGCCAGCCTGGGCAAATGGCACACAGCTCCCACCTGCAGTGCTGCGAGCCCCATATCCTGAAACACAGCCAGCCCGGACCGGGTTGAAGGTGCACTCCAGTGGGCCAGCTCTGGGCCACCACATGCAGCCCCTGGGACTCATCTGGAGCTGCGTGCCGCCAGAGGGGCTGTGCCTGCTGCAGCCATGAGTGCCCTGAAGACCTGCTGCTGCTGTTGCTGCTGATGGCAGCAGAGGCTGTGCACCATGGTGGGGGGGGGGGGCATGTGACAAGGGGGCCAGACACACCCATGCCCACCCCAACCTCCTCCTGCAGGCAGGTACTCCCTACTCACCAGCTGTCCAGTCGCATGCCACTGCACTTGGTACCTCCACATGGGACTCCCAGCTGAAGTGCTGGAGGTGGAGACATAGAGCCTGCCCAGGTTAAATTATGCAAAATTATGCAGTTATGTGCGGTCATACATTTTATGCACAAAATTGTGTGGGCACATAATTGTGTAATTCCCCAGGGTGTATTTAAAGCCCCCCTTTATCTGAACGTTCTTGTTTTGCTTTGTTTTTGTCTTTAGCTAAGAAATGTTTGGTCTTGGAACATGTCTTAATCTGACAAAGTTCAAGCAATGTGCTTGTTTCCAAACCATCAGTGCATCATGTGTTAGACTGGTGTGGGGACAAATAAAACTGCAAAGTTGCACAAGTAATTGCCACAGGTTGATAAAATCATGTGCCAGCATAGTGTATTATTGTAGTGCTTTAAAGAGCATCTGATTTATCTTAACTCATAGGGGCTTTTTCACATAGTCTGCTACCTAAATCATTTTGCAGTCTGGGGGTTAGTGGCACATATGTTGGAATGCTGAGTGGCTTTTTTATGTTTTGTGGTCTTCTAAATCTTCTGCCATAGTGCTTGGTGACTGTGTTCTCTTTCAGCGCCCCGTGACTCAGACCTGTAATAGTGGGATACCTAGGCACTGACACTTGTGGGGCAGTAAAATACCTGCCCAGGATTTGCTTGTCTCCACCTTTTACTTTGAGAAGCTCTAGTATTCCATTACTTCTTAGAGCAAGAACTTGAAGGATAACTTTTCTGTCAATGGTGTTCTGACATTCCTTTAAGAAGTTGCCCAAATATGCCCAAATTAGGATTTTGAAAATCTCAGTTGGTATATGTTCAGTCTTCCTAGAGCTTAGTAACTAAAACCCTTTGAAAGTTCTGTCTCCACTGGGATGAAGTATGTGCCTCAAAACTCTTGCAGGTGAACAATGTAAAGGAGAACTGTGCTCACAAGTATTGAGAATGCGACAGCACTAAGTTATGTGTGTCCATGCCCTGCAGCTGAACTGTTCAAAAATATCACAGATTTATGAACCAGTTCACAGTTGTCACAAGTAAGAGGTGTTCAGACATGGTGCTGGAGCCTTCCAAATAGATAGTAACCTTTTTAGGCATTGAAGTGCTGTGGTTCTGACACCAGGGGGGTGGGAGTTATCATCTAGCCCAGCATGCCTTGGAGTGGGCTAGTAGGGAGGGGAGTGCTTGTGCCCATGATTTTGGACCCAGAGGCTGGGGCATCATGAAGGTCTGTGGTTGTAGGGAGTGAGGACAGTTGCTTATTAGAGAGAGAACTTTTACTGAACGAGCAGTGCAAGGGGATTACATTGATAAAGCATCAACAAAAGGGAGGGACAGAATCCAGTTAGATCTAGACAGATTACAGAGGTGGGCGGATGAGAATAGGATGGAATTCAGTGCAGACAAGTGCAAGGTACTACACCTAGGGAGAAGGAACCAGCAACACATCTGGAGGCTGGGGAACACCCTTCTTGACAGCACAGTTGCAGAAAGGGATCTTGGAGTTATTGTTGACTCCAAGATGAACATGAGCTGCAAATGCGAGGAAGTGGTCAGTAAGGCTAACTGCGCCTTGTCGTGCATCTACAGATGCATCACAGGCACATCCAGGGAGGTGATGCTCTGTGCGGCATTGGTCAGGCCACAGTTGGAGTACTGTGTCCAGTTCCGGGCACCGCACTTCAAGAGGGATGTGGTTAGCAATGAGAGGGTCCAGAGGAGGGCCACTCGCATGGTCAAGGGGCAGCAGGGCAGGCCCGACGGGGAGAGGCTAAAGGGCCGGAACCTGTTCAGCCTCCGCAAGAGAAGGCTGAGAGGGGATCTGCTGGCTGTTTACAAGCTCGCTGGGGGGGACCAGTGAGAATTGGGGGTGGTTCTGTTCCCCTGGGCACCACCCAGGGTTACTAGGAATAATGGCCACATATTGTTAGAGAGAAGGTTCAGGCTGGACATCAGGAGACAGTACTTTACAGTTAGGGCTGCCAGGCTCTGAAATGGGCTTCCAAGGGTGGCAGTAGTCTCTTCTACCTTGGGGGTCTTCAAGAGGAGGATGGACAGATATTTGGCTGGGGTGATATGATCCCGGCACCTGTTCCTGCCCGGGGTAGGGGGGTTGGACCCGATGATCTGTTTAAGTCCCTTCCAACCCGAAGTACTGTGATACTAAGAAAAAGAAAATGGGCAGTAGAATTCTGTCCACATACTGGAGTAGCCAGTAACAGCACTGGGGTTTGAGGGTGAAGCATAATGCCGTGTGGGATGTCAGGAGGAACTGTCAGACTCGTGTCACAGAGTGTTTGGTGTCCGCATGTAACATTGGGCCAGTTCAGCAAACTGGTTCAAAAGAGTACTTGATTTTCCATGTACACCTTTGAACTATTCCAGTCAGCTTTAAAATGGTTTAGCAGGCACGTCTGTATGTCTACTTCAGGTTTAAACCTATCTGAGTGTTCAGCGTACTCATACCCACAGTTAGCCTTTCTAGGCAGTCACTGCCGTGGCCCAAAATGTGGTCCAGTACCAGAAAAGAGAAGAAGGAATTTCTTTCCTGTCTCCTGGTGTGGTCCCTTGCAGGTTACCTCATAATCCATATGCAGAAGGCAGCTAAATTAAGGCATACTTGATTCTTATCTTGGCTCCCTTGCAATATGTGATTTTTGATTGCATGATTACCGGCTATCTCTCCACAGGCCTCTACTTTTTAGTCTTTGTTCATTTTCCTTATCTGTCCAGTCCAGTTTTTACTCCTCAGGTTTCAGTTTCTTATCCAATCTCTCACAGTCTTTCCAGCTACCCTCAAAACTTCTCTTCCCAGGCTCTCCCAGTCCCTATCATCTGCTCTGTCTTAGCTAACTTAGCTTTCACATCTCCTCTCCATCAGTATCTGGCTCCTTCCAGGCTACTCCTGTTTGTGCCTCCAGGTCCAACTTTTGTCCCCTTTTCATTCAAGTCAGGCAGTTTCTTTAATACCACTGTAGGAAGGGGCACTGAGAACAAAAAAGAAGCCGGCTTCCTTTTGTCGTTTCTTATGTCCAGCATGGAGTAGCAAGTACAGGGAAAGTCTGACTTAATCTCTGAAGCCATGGTTGGAGCATGCACAGTCCATTCTGCACAAGCCCCTCTCAGCTTAATGCAATGCAAAACAGTGAAGTCCCTTGAATATCTGATTGTAAAACATGGAGATGCAAGAGTTTTTTTTTTTATCAAAAAGTACTTTTTATTCCATCCAGGAAGAGCACACACCAACTGCTGAAACTTCCTTAGCATGACGAAGGATTTTTGAACTCGAAAGCTTGCTTAATAACTATTCTCCAACTATTTGGGTTGGTCTAATAAAAGATATCAAATTCACCCAAGGAACCTTGTCTGCCTATGTCCTTAGACCAACACGGCTACAGCCTACACCCCTGTTACATGGACAAGACACTTTTGTTTCCTAACACGATTCCTGGAAAAGGCTGAAACTTAAAAAAAAAAAAAAAAAAAAAAAAAAAAAAAAAAAAAAAAAAAATCAGCTGTAGTTAGGCACCTGGCATAGAATTGCCTCAGTCCAGATGCTTTAGTAAAGTTGTATGCAATTTATAATAGTCTTTTAATGGGTAGACTCGTGCACCACTGACAGCTCTGGCCATGTCTTTCTCATGCACAAAGCTTACTACATTGTGATAAATTAGGCAAATAGATTTTATAGCTCAGGTAACATTGAAGGGCACAAGAGGTTGAGCCATGGGAAAAGATACCTGTTGAAAAATAATCCATAAGAGACGAGCATCTGTCAGGAGGAATCAGCCCTGAGAAAAGTAAGTCTTGACTGGTCTGAAGAACTATATGGAATATGAAGTCTACTCACATTTTAGGAGATCTGGATTTGGACTATGGTAACCATAGAATCATAGAAAATTAGAGTTGGAAGGGACCTCAAGAGGTCATCTATTCCAACCCCCTCTCTAAGCAGGACCATCCCCAACTAGATCATTGCAGCAAAGGCTTTGTCGAGCTGGGCCTTAAAAACCTCCAAGAATGGAGATTCAAACTCCTCTCTAGGTAACCTGTTCCAGTGCTTCAGCCTCCTAGTGAGAGTGTTTTTCCTAATATCCAACCCAAACTTCCCTTGTTGCAGCCTGAGACCATTGCTCCTTGTTCTGTCATCTGCCATCACTGAGAACAGTCTAACTC